GGGTAAGGAACCCCCTGATAGGTGAAAAACAAATGAGATAGTGCCGTTTCTTTGGATTTTTCCAAAGCTTCATCAATGTAGTCAATAAATTTGGAGTTAGCAGCCATGCTGACTCCCTGCTAATGAACCTGCTCTGTGGCCCAGGGGCAATGGTGGCTTTTAATGGAGTTTCTCAGAAAGTGGAATAAAGTGCTCCTCCCATTCACATGAGAAAGAAATAACTGAATTCTCATCCACCCCCATCTCCAGCTTTTTGCATACCTACCTCTGAGAAAAGGCACACCACAGGTGCAGAACAGGCTGAGGATCAGGGAAGGCTACCCCAAGGGCTGGATTATATTACCATCACAGGCAATCCTCCCAAGGAAGGTCAGAGTAGAATCTCTTAATAGACGATAATCTTTTTTTTTTTTTTGATGATAATAGATCTTAAATATCTAACACATAGGTATTTAATTGAATCAGGTATATAATTTTCCTATTAGCTAAAAACAATTTACTGATGAAATCTCTCTCCTTGGTTGATGGTTTTGCACATACATCCAAAGTGTGATGTAGGGGTGGAAAAATTGTCCCTTCTTCCTTTCTAGATTCTTTGGCTAGTCTAATAATTAAATTAATATATGATCAACAGGGGGAAAAACAAAATTATATACTTAACGGGGACTCCATTATAATATGCAGACTCAAAGGCCACCAGGTAATTGAAGTTTATATAACATCCTGAGTTTAGGAAAGGGGTAGGGTCTTGGGGATGTAAAGGAAGGGAAAGCCACTCACAGGTAGGTAGAGGAGATGTTTGGTAAACTAGGGTTGCTGTGTTATGCAGATAAGTTTTTTAAGTAAAAGTGTATCTCTGGTAATAGGTCTCTTCCTGGTAAAACCCTTCTTTCCAATCAGAATTTAGGCAATTGAAGGGGGAAGTAAAAAGCTTTCCCTGAATCTGCTGGATTTTTTATATTGCCTTTAGCTCAAAATAATCCTCGTGCCAGAGTAGCATTGGGGTGTCAAAACCTGGTCCCCTTCCGTGACAAGGAAGCAATGGAATTGCGAGGTGATTTAGTGACGTGGAAAAGAACCCGGGATGTGGAAGCAGTCCTAGGCACCAGGCTCATAACTGTCATTTACTGCCTCAGTAGACTTAGAAGTCTGTGGACCTGAGTTTAAATCTCAGCTCTACCACTTACTAGTTGTATGGTTTTTTTAATTGAAGTATAGTTGATTTGTGTTAGTTTCAGGTGTACAGCAAAGTGATTCAGATATATATATATGTATATATGTGTGTGTACATATATGTATATACAACCTTTTTCATATTCTTTTCCATTAAAGTTTACTACAAGGTATTGAATATAGTTCCCTGTGCTGTACAGTAGGTCCTTGTTGTTTATTTATTTTATGTTAATCCAAAACTCTTAATTTATCCCTCTCCCCGCCTTTCCCCTTTGGTAACCATAAGTTTGTTTTTATATCTGTGAGTCTCTTTCTGTTTTGTAAATAAATTTATTTGTATCATATTTTAGATTCCACATATATGGTATTTGCCTTTGTGTATCTGACTTACTTCACTTAGTATGATAATCTCTAGGCCTATCCATGTTGCTGCAAATGGCATTATTTCATTCATTTTTATGGCTGAGTAATATTCCATTGTGTATACCACAACTTCTTTATCCAGTCATCTATTGATGGCCATTAAGGTTGCTTCCATGTCTTGGCTATTGTAAATAGTGCTGCTATGAACATTAGGATGCATGAATTGTTTCGAGTTAGAGTTTTTATCTTTTCTGGATATGTGCCCATTAGGGGGACTGCTGGATCATATGGTAACTCTTTTTTCAGTTTTTTAGGGAAACTTCATACTTTTCTCCGTAGTGGTTGCACCAATTAACATTCCCACCAACAGTACAGGAGGGTTCCCTTTCTCCACCCCCTCTCCAGTATGTATTATTTGTAGACTTTTTGGTCTTTTTGGTGATGTATAATGTGGTGGATGTATTTGTGTTATTTTGAGCTCATAATATACCTTCAAAGGTATACGTAAAATGAGAATAATGATAGCTGCCCTTCCTGACCCTATTTTACGATAGGGTTGTATGGTTCCTAGAAAGGAGATGCTTTGTCATGGGGAAAACACAATGCAGTGGTGTCTCCTGTCCTCTGAGTTCCTGCCCTGCTGATTTAAGGTCTCTGGAGTGAGATGCTCACTCTCTGCGACAGTCTTTCCCCAGCAGCCACTCTCTTCTTTTCCCTTTGAGTAAATTGGGCTACGATCCCTGCCTTCTTTGCAGCTTCATGTGGCCCTGGGGCTAGTGGGAGGTAAGCAGAAGTAGCATGTGCAAAATCATCATCATGACACAACGCAGGAAGTTGATTGTTCTCTAATTTTCCTCTATCCCCTTTCCCACACTTGGAGGACAGACATGATGCTGGCCAGCCAGACCAAAAAGCAGTACTTCAGGGGATGGTAGACCAACAAGATGGAGGAAACCTGGCTCATTTGATGATGTGGTGAAAGAGTTGCCCTCCTGTCACCCACCCCACATATACCAAACCTCCTGAACTCTGTGTGAAAGCCTCCAATTGTCTATCTTGTTGCAGCCTCTGGATTTTTGCAGTCCCTTTGTTGCAGCAGTTTTGCCTATATCCTATCTAGTGCACTTTCTGAGTCAAAATGTACTCTCTTTGGCCTCTTCTTACGTTGAGTTTCCATAAACATCTATGAGCTTTTTCCTTCTTTCTCCCATTCTCTTCTCCACGTCATTCTCCTTATTCTTCCTCCATTTTTTTCCCACCAGCCCTATGAGCACAGTTTTTTAAAAACCTATGTTTACCTTTCTCTCTAAACTAATGCTAACAGTGAAGAAGTTAACTCCTAACTGTGCATGGTTACCTAGCTGCTACAGCCATTCATGTATCAGTTAAAATAGTAGCCAAGGTTGTGGATCATTTGTTTGTAGCAGACATCCTGCCAAGTTGGTAACATTACGTGGATGATTTAATGTAACTTCATAAAAGCCCTATGAAATCGGTGTTACTATTTTTTTTTACAGAAACAGTTTTTAGTTTTTAATGAACTTATAAACAAGAAAGCTCCCATTTCAAAATAAAAACAAAATCCCAGATCATATAGATGTTTACGGTGATTATATTTATCTAAGCAACATACATACATGTTCAGTTGTAAGATGTTAACTAAATTTCTGTGACAAATATGCTTTTTTTTTAATACCAAGAACATTATAGAGTTAATGCAGAGTCCTAAGGATAATCTAGTAGTCACTAAGTTTTTCTTAAGTCTTCACTTTAGATGCTGTTATTTCTAGCACAGGTAAGCAGGCAGTCTTTCATATGCTCAAACACTGTAATCTTTGGTTGCTACCATATCAGCTGGCTTGCAGACAAGAAGCCAACCATTTTAAGAATGTTTTAAGTGAACAACTTGC